TAATAGTGCAGGGAATGGGAAATTTAAATTTGCATAAGGTGTGAGGAAAGACATATAGGAAATAATGTAAAGACATGGGAACATTTTCCCTACTATGTATTTTGTACAATAAATATTCACTGGTTTCCTCTGATGTTCCAGATACTGCATCAGGCCCTGGGATCCTAGGATGATCCCCATGCTCTACAAGTGGGGTACTCTGTTCATTAGGAAATAAATTGAGCACAGGTTTGGAGACATAGTTAGACCTACTGAGCCATGGGGACGAGGCGTCCTCAGGAAGACTGTTGAAGAGCATACAGAAACTGTTAGTGGCTTGAAGGAAGGTGATGCTGTCTCATCTGGTGACTGACTGGGTGAGGGAAGAGGCAAGGAATATGCCCAAGGTTCTAGCTTGTGTGAGACGTGGTCATTCACATAAAGAGAGATAGGAAATAGAAAAGGAAGAACTTTTACCCCCATCTTTACCAGTGGATGTCCTAACGATCCGCGCAGTACATTTGTTCATAGTTATTCATTCAATGCTCACACATCTGTTGTTTGGAGTGTCCACTGTGTCAGGCAATGGGCTGAGCCCTGGGGATATGATGCCTTTAAAATTAAAGTTGTGTTATTGTTCCCAAGTGGAGTGTGCAATGGAAGCATATAATAATATATCACAGGTGCCCTCATCCAGCCTGGGGAGGGTGGTCAAATTTGTAAAGAGATAGTTAAGCTGAGATCTGAAAGACGTATAAAGTTAGTGAGTCAACAGAGAGAGAAGGCCCCTCTGAAAGAGCTTGGTGTGAGGTGGTGTGGAAGAATTTCATGGACATAGGGAAACAGATGTGGCTGGAGATGAGGAAGTGAGAAGGGTAGAAAATATGGCTGTAGAGAGTCTGTGTTCAGTGAGATAGGCTTTAGTCTAGGTGCTGTTGAGTTTAGCACTGACTTTGGAGCTGGTTCTGGTAAGAGGGCTCTCTATCTTGCTGCTGTGGTGATAGAATAGATACTAGATAGCTAGTAATTCTGTAGTCAGTTGGTAATCATCCAGGTAAATCAGGGGAAATGCTACAGGTTCTGAATCTAAAGTGTGGTGAGGATAGTTACATGCAACTCATCAGAAAGTTACCAAAAGAAAAACTCTCTGAGAACCAGTAGATTTTTAATGGCTTATTGGATAAATATTGCAACTCCTTTGAAATGTTGGCTATGGCTACAGGATCACCCTTACCTGATTCGCGTGCATTTCTCCATCTTTGACTCACAAAATTGTTTTGTCCCTCCACTCTTAAATATGCAAACATTGCAATGCTCACAAGACAACGAACCCCGTTTTCTATTCTGAGGATTATCTAGGCCTTTGCTGCTTTCACTCCTTCCCCTCCTGCCTCCCTTTGGGTCATTCTACATCTCGATGTCTTCTCCATATATTACATAGTTAAATTATTAGGAGGAGATTGAAGTTATTTTTATTTCCAGTTCACATCATTTCTATGGTAATATCACCTTATCCTTTTAAAAAGAACACATGGGCAAGCAGGCAAATACATGAACACTAGCCTGCAGGAAGCCTGAAGAAACAGCAGATGTGTGGAATATTTTTCCAACAGTCATGCTTCCTTCTACTGAAAAGTTCCCAAAAAGTATACTTGCAAGGGTCAGATGCCTGCACAAGGAGCTACTTTGAGTTGTTCAATGTAAAATATTGAACCCACCTGTGGGGGGTTCATTTCCTTTTAAAACTGTTAGTGTCTTTAACATACTTTTCTGCCACCATTCAACATATATGTCCCACACTGGCCTTTGTATGTCCAAACAGATATCCCAGTTGTAACTGGCAAGCTAATATCAGGAGTAGTGATAGCAATAGATTCTCTGGAAAGTTCTGGCAGTATTTGTGTAAGTCAATACTACTTTCAGCATCTTTTGCCTCACCTCCACACTTCCCTGAATTAAAACATTCTTTTTAGTAAATCCAACAAGATAGTAACAAGCCCACCAGTTCATTTTCAGCAGTAGATGATTCACAAATGGGATGCTGACAGGTTCTTATGATTACACTTTCCAAGTATCCTGGTCTCACAAAAGTGCTCATAGAGATCGACAGATATTGTAAACAGAAACAGAGACATAAACAAGTGTTTTCACTAGAATGAGCGATAGAAAGTATAGACCCTCACCTACCAGTACTCTTCTTTTTGTGAGCTTATTTCATTGTCTCTGACCTGCAGTCATGGTCTTTATAGGAAATAGTGAGCAAAAGAGGCTGAGAAGTAACTAAAGATGGGTGGATGGAAATAAATGTTTTCTCAAGCATTTAGTGCCCTTCTGAAATGTCCATCACTGAACTATTAGTCCCACAGAACTACTTAGCAGCCCAGAGGGGAAAAGCAGGTAGCTGTTATTAATTTTTAAGGCTGGCTGACAGCTTTCAGTCCAAGTGCAAGGCTTAACTTTGCATTCTGAATAGTGCAGAGATTTTCATTTGTTAGAATAGGATTCGAAATGATAAATGATATATTGTCTGCCAAAATACTGTGACATTACATTATATATTTGCAGTTACCTTTCAGAATAAGCTTTCCAGAAGTATACCCAGACAAATTGGAAAGCTAGCAGTGTTGTTTCCTTATTTTATGTTTTGCGTTTAGAAAAACAATTCAAAAGACACGTCTGCTTGGCTGTGGGTTGGTAATGTCTCATCCAAAGGGCAGTTCATTATTGCACCTAAAAGCTAAGTGTTGGCACAAATTGTACTAGTCTATGAGATCATTGCAATTGGTTTCATAGATTTCTTTTTGCTCACATCTGCCTTCTCAAGACTCTGGGACAATTCAATTACAAGTGCACTTTTGATTCCTACTTCTATCAATAAAAATATAAAATTACCCTTGCTTGAGAACTATCAGACTAAAAGGTTTCTGATTGCTTTTCACTGTCATCTCTCTTCCATCAGATTATCATGTCAGGTTTATCTAGGGCATATTTACTTTGTTTTGAGCACCTCAGAATCTTTCTGACTCTGAGCATTATTTGGACTGATGGAAGCACAACTACTGTGTCCAGATGTCTCTCAGTAACTTAATATATGGCCCCAATAACAAACACTAGAATTAAACCATTAATGGAATAGGTTGTAACAGCTGCTTCAATCTTAGTTTGATGGGCATTAAAATAGCTGATTCAGAGATTTCTATAGAGAAACTTAAGCTAATTAAAGACACCAAAGTCAATGGAACTATAATATCTGCCAGTAGCAGACAATCCATATACATCGACATTAATACTCTAAAAGAAGGCTAGCAGAAGGTCAAAAAATGTTTGCCCAATTTAGACGAGCCTTTTATTTTGCATGTCAGTTTGCATTTCCCAGTTTTGCTTAAAATCACAGGCCTCAAAGAAAAGTCCTTTCTATATTTATGCTAATAGATAAAGAAGACTATTGATTATTCTGTCTTTTCTCACACGATAAGGCAGGAAAGAACATTGCATAGTTTGAGAGCCTCCAACTAATTCACTGAGGAGGAAAAGAAAGAATTCTTTTGGTATTTACTCAAAAGTACCTTACAGGATTTAGTTGAGGTTTATCATTCATTGTTACAATTTTTTGAAGTATTTATTCATCCTCAATTCTAATCATTTCTGTTAGGTCCTGAGTCCAGTTAAAACTGCTCATATTCAATCGATTGCTTTTGGCTGTGCAGCCTGTTTTAGCTGTGGGTCAGAGGCAGGCTGCTTTTTGTATATTAACATTGTCAGACTGTGGAAATAGCTACTAATGGAACTCCTGAAAATAGGCTTTTTGATGTTAACCTCATAGTGGGAAGTATGTCATTACAGCTGCACTTTTGAAATGTCAGAAACTTTCTGGCTCATCTAGCATTAAAAAAAAAGATACCCCCAAGCAAGCATAAAATATGTGATGCAGTCTGTTTGCATGTTTTCACTGCCCAATGAGTTTCATCTCAGGTCTAATATTTATTCCACTTGGTCAAATAAATTGAGATGAGAGCTTATTGTCAACTGGATCCCCGTTTATGTATTGTACACTCTATCTGCTTGGAGGGAAGCATTCATCAGACCCCGTTGGAGTCGTGTTCTAGAAAGTTATAATGGTTAGCTAGAGACTGACCCTCGTTGCTGAGTTAACTTTACAGCTCAGACCGTAACTGCAATGATGTAACTAAATCTCTGATACACTTGGGTGTGATTTGTTTATCCAATATTATTATTTTTTAAATAAATTAAAATTTCCTTTGGTATTACATGAGCCCATAACAGAGGTGTGCCAAGAAGTGCCTTGTACATTAGCAGGTAGGTGCTTAATAAATGACAGTTGTTGGCCTATGTTGCAAAATCTCTGTCTATGTAAGTTCAGGTTGTATATGTCTTTTTTTATTGTTTTTTTTTACTTAAAAATTATTGTATTTTTCCATTACCATTTAACTCCCTTATATCCCTCTCTCCCTGCAAACATGTATATGTCCTCTTTGAGTGTTCTGCTAAAATGTGATTACTTAGCTTTTTTAGCATCTCTCTCATTGTTTTTTACATCTTGCCTTGAAGGTTATTTATTTTTAGTTTTCTCAGAGCATTTTATATAGTTTGTATACATATAGGTCTTGCTATAATGTGCATTGTTGTTTTTGCTATTTGATTACAAAATTTTGCAGCCAGCATGCTTACAGGTGGTGAGGGATAAAGCAGCCCCGAATCTTCTACTCAGCAACCTGTTTAGGTCTCCGATGAAAAGTTACAAAGACACAATAGGACAGCAATCCCTGGGCTTCTGTGTCTCTGGGAAGCTTCCCACACAACTGGGACTGCAAGTTTCAGCACTCAGCACCATCTTATCTGAGTGCAGTCTGGTTTGTAAATGTGTGATTGTAACTTTACTAGGGTGAGTTCAGTGACTTTAAATTCCAAATAGAAATGACTTCATAGCCCTATGATGATTGGGTTGGAAGCTACATCTCAGCGAAAATCAACCTGCAGGGAGATATAGCAGCAATACTTACAGGTGTCCTCTTCTTCCATGAAAATACTGATCACATAACAGGCATACACAAAACCAACCAACTGCAAAGGAGAGGAAAAACATTCTTTAAGAATCTAGGCCTAATGTCCATAATTAAAGAGCATATATAATCCAATAGATAAAGAATATATAAGAGTAACATCTAGAATTTGTAATAAAAATAGAATTTTAATAGAAAAAATCTTGTTTTTGAACAATGCCTGTGATTTTTAAGGAGGTTTTCCATTTCTATTCAACTTTAATAGCTTTCTAAAACAGTATACAGGAATGGGGAAAAAAACAATTCCTAGATAGTTTACTTAAATTTTGATTTGGGAAATACAGATGTTACATTTTAAGGTCACAGATTATCCAGAACATATATTTTTAAATGTTAACTATTTATAGAGCAATTTGCAGCTGCACTCATTATTACAACTACTTTAATGATTAATAACCAAAAAGGAATAAAAATATATTAATTACAAATCAAACAGCAATCATTTACTAAACTATTTAAAATGCTCAGAGAATATAAATTCTATTTAAATACCACATTGTTTTTTTAATTATAGCACAATAGAATGCATTAACTTTCGGCTGTTAGTCATTAAATCAAACAGATGAGATGACTTATACTTTGGACACTAGTGGTTAAAAGAATAAATGCAGGTGCTTATAGGCTTTCTAGCTTTTAACATTTTTTTTTCACTTATACTGAGAAGACAATTTTTATTCTATGGAGCCAGTGACACTGTAATTCTTGGAGGACAAAACTGTCATTGAATCTAGTTGAGTCTAAAATTACTCTGATAAGTACTTTGATGAAAAAGACGTTCCTCAATAGCTGTTATAGTCTGTCTCCTTACCTTTCTCTCCATTGTTAAAGTCTGTTCCTCCTTCCCCTTTATAAAATAACATTGGGAAGGAAACTTCCCTGATAGTCCCAGTGTGAAAGGCTGAATGCAGAGAATAATATATCTGGTGGTTGTGACTGCCCAGGTAGATTAGGAGTCTGAACTCATAGCCCACTTTCAACTATCTAGACTAAGGCCAAGAAGTCCCTCAGAGGGTGAGAAGTTAGACTGAGAAGGACTTACACAGAGAGAGTTGCCAGGGTACAGGAAGGTTCTCTCACCTCAAGTGAGGGGGTATTTCAGGGAACCAGAAACATGGGGGGACATAGGTGCTTGGTATCTAATTCCCACTTGGAGAACTCAAAAGTTGGGGGTGCTGTGGAAAAATGAGCTTTTGGTGACAGAGTATGAAGAGACAGGGCTGAGCAGTCATGGCCAGTCAGGTGTATGGGTCCCCTTAGCCTGGCAGGTAAGGCCTTTTTGAGAGAACTGATTGAATTGCTGTTCTGGAGTGGGACCCCACGCAGAGGACTTCCTGCCAGGGGCAGGTGGCCTCAGAAGAACGATGCTGCTACTTTGTATGTAGAAGATGCACCAGCCAGAGAGGCTGATCACCCAGAGAAATAGCTGAGAGGATCCTAAAAGATGGTTGGGGTGGGTTTCTGAAGAACCCACAAAAGTACCTACAGAAGGAAGAGTTGCAATTGGAATCTGTACACCCAGAGAGCACCTCCTGATAGATTACAACTGAGCCAGACAAATGAGACCTGGTTCCTTATCTCTTCTCCCATGAGTCCTCTTTTCACTGCATCCCTGGACTGACCCAAAAGAGAGAAGTGGAGTGAGAAGAGGGAAAGCAGTGATAGGTCCCTTCCCCACTGCTGTCTCCAAGTTGAAGTCAGACCCAGGCTGAGGAGGAAAGTTGAAATAGAGGAAAGTTTGCACTGGCCTGGGCTGGATTTTTTTAATTAAAGGTAAAATTGGCATACGATATTACATGTGTTAGGTGTACAATATTATAATTTGACATATGTATGCATTACAAGTGATCACCACCAAAAGTCTAGTCACCATCCATCACCATACAATGGCCCTTTCCCCCATTTCACCCTCCTATGAAGCCCCTCCCCTCTAATAACCACTAGTCTGTCCTCTATATAAGTTTGTTTTTGTTTTTTAGATTCCACATATGAATAAAAAAACATAAGATATTTGTCTTTCTCCATCTGACTTATTTCACATAGCATAACAGTTCTTGCATCCATGTTCTTGCAAATGGCAAGGTTTTATTTTGTTATTTGTGACTGAGTAGTATTCTGTTTATATACATTCACAGGTTCTTTATCCATTTTTCCATCATGGACACTTAGATTGATTGTTTCCATATCTTGGCCTTTGTAAATAATGCTACAGTGAATATGGGGGTGCATATATATTTTCAAATTAGTGTTATGGCATTCTCTGGATAAATACCCAGAAGTGAAAGAGCTGGGTCATATGATAGCTCTAGTTTTACATTTTTGGAAAAATCTCCATCTTGTTTTTCATAGTGTCTGCACCAATTTACACTCCCACCAACAGTGTATAAGGGTTCCCTTTTCTCCATAACCTCTGCAACATTTTTTATTTCTTATCTTTTTTATGATTATGGGCTGAATTTTTTAATATCCATGAGGAACCAAAAGAGCTGTATGTTTGGCCTGAAATGTGATACAAAGGGTAGGATAGATTGAGGCTAAAAAGTGTGCTTGAAGGGGCAGTGGGAGAAAGAATAAAAGGCCTCTAATTGTATTTTACCATGTTCAGCTCATTCAGTAAACCAGCTGCACACAGAAGAGAGAAATGGCCGATGGTCTTATTACAAAAAACTTCCTAATGGATTTCTTCCAGTCCTTTTTCTCTTAGTTGCTATATGCTATGGTTATATTCTTATGACTCATGTCAATACTTATCATAAACTTAATTGTTAATAACTATATAAATTTGCATAATTTAAACATACTGTAATATATTTGAGCAATATGCTATTATTGAACATTGTTTTCAAATTATACATACTATTATAATGAATATTAATACTTTTTCTGTATTTTGGATTATTCTGATTCTCAGAAGTGCCATAAGTAACACATTTCATCCTGCTACAGCAGTGAATGACAATGCTTGCTTTGTCACACCCTTAAAAATATATGCCAGTATAATAGACAAATGGCATCTTTACATTTATTTAATTTGCAATAGTTTTATTTCACTTGAAACATTTTCATATTTTATTAGACATTTATATATTTTTTCCAAATTATTTGCAGAAGTCCTTTACCTGTTTATTAACTTGCTATTATTTTCATTAATTTGTATGAGATCTTATGGCATGTATATACAAGCTTTTGCTATATTTATTGCATTTATTTCTTTTTGTCAGCAGGTGATAGCGATGGCTCCATAATTGTGTAATATTTTCTTAGTAAATCATACACTAGAAGGTATCTACCTACAAATAATTTTCCTATTTTCTTGGTGGGCTTTCTCTTAGTGTGGGTTTCTCTTAGGGCTTTTTCTTGGGTGTGTATGTATACATGTAACTCAAGAACTTTCTTATATTAATTTTCGATTGGTGCTGTACAAATGTGTAATAAATACAGAACGTATTTATTATCTTACAGTTCTGGAGATTGGAAGCCTGAAATGGGTCTCTGTGGGCTAAAACGAAGGTGTCAGCATGGCTGTACTCCTGGAAAATCTGGAAAATGTTTTGCAGCCTTTTTCAGTATCTAGAGGTGCCTCTATTCCTAGGCTTGTGGCCCCATTTTTTACATCTTTAAGGCCAGCAACCTTGAACTGATCCTTCTTTGTTGCCATGTTCCTGGTGTCCCTCTTCTGCCATCCTGTTCCCCTTTTAAGGACCCTTGTGATTCCACTGGACCCACCTGGATAATCCAGGATAATAAGGTGACCATTTAAGGTCAGCTGATTAGCCACTTTAATTCCATCTGCAACCTCAGTTCATTCCCATTTGGAGACTAGTTCATGGACTTCTTTGAGGGGCCATTATTCTGCCTGCTACATCTGTGACCTTGTGTTTTTAGTTCTTAGCTCCCTGGACAGTGGGTTACAATGGGAAGGAAGAAGAGATATTGATGCAATTACTTAAGTTTTAATGTATGAAGTAAAATCATATCTTGATTTAAAAACAAGACTTGAAACTTTGAAAAGTCTTTTATATCAATTCACTCCTCTCAGGAAGTACCATCTTTTAACATTGGAGAAACCACTGCCAGCATCGATTTGGTGTTTGTACATTAGTGTATGTTTCCACATCTTTACTATAAATATGTATCTACAAAGAGACCATAATTAATTTAAATAGCATTTATTTCTAATAGTTTTCTTGATAACTTTCTGAGAATATTATCTTTTTAATTTGATTAGAGCATCATTATTTTTTATTTTGTATCATGGCTGACAGAGAGCTTATACTAGGCTGAGAATACATGTCTGCTCTGTCTTTTCAATTTTTTTTATTCATGTGTCAATAACTAGTTTTATCTTCAATCCACGGATTCTTGCAAGAAAAGTTATAAGCCACATGGTCATTTTGTGAGCATTAGTTTTCTTAAAAAATAGGCAATATAGTGTGTAAACTTACTTAACTCAGAACAAAAAAATGTAATTCATCTCAGTACACTCAACATGCCTGTCCCCACCAATCCCACCATGCAGTGGAGCTCCTGCCCCTCACAGGATAGTCTAGAAACTCAGCCACACACACAACTTCCTTACTTGTAGTCCTAGTGAGGCTGCCAGTGCTAAACCACATGTTAGATATTGTTAAAGGTAGTTTTTTAGGTTATTGGATAAAAATAAATAGATATAGAGGCAATGTTGTCTCCTTATACTCCTATGGATTACCTCCTTTCAACATGTGTTCCATTTTGGAATATTTTATGCACTTCTTTGCAGGCATTTGCCCTCCTTTGGAGACTTACTTTGAAAATGACCCTTTCAGCTGAAAAACAGCTCAAAGAGTTCAGATAACATGAGTTTTAATGATATAAACATAGGCGAATCAGATATCTTTTCAACTCTATAGAGCCAGACCAAGTGACAACTGAACAGATCAAGGTCTCCTGTCCAGTGTGACTGAGTGAGTGGTACCAAGGGTCTCTTCCTGGTCCTTTGCAAAGAGCAGGACAGTAGCAGAATGA